ACCCCAGAATCCACAAAAATTTGAATCAAAGCGTATTCCATAGCATTTAAGTTTATTTGAAAGAGCAATCTCTAGAGTTTGTTGCTCGTTCTTCTCAGGGAAGTCAGCGTAGTGAACGAGCAGTAGCTTAAATGTGACGTTTTCAAGTGTAAATTTATTTTACCGATGGAATGGATGGATTCTTTGACTTTGACTTTACTATACTCCATTAACGGATATAGGCCCTCTAAAAAAGACAATGTGCTTTAACCGTCACGCGCGACAGTCGGGTTGGAGATCGTGGTATTATAAATACTATATAATAATACTTAGGCTATAGTATAGTTCCCACGCAAGCCTACTACGGATTGGAAACTTCATTGCTTTGCAGATTTGTGTAGATTCGCAAATAAATTCCGAAAAATTCAGAGGTGCAAGCCCAGTTTCGAACCCACGAATCAAATCAAACTATTAGTGAGCCACGGCTTTTTTACATATTATACTGTGTACCACTATAATGTATCAACTTATTTACGTCGCACTATTGGACATGGTACTTCACTAAAATAGGACTTTTTGAAATAAAAATAATGCTTCTTCTTGGTGTATCGACTCTGGCGTTTATATTTGTGAGGACCAGTACTTAGCGATTGAGATAGCATTATGCTATGCCATATAATTACACCAATTTACCGGTCACCAGTCAGCCATGACTACGGGACTTGTAAAGACCTCGATGTGTTAGTTTAAAAAAAATATATACAAGATTTTGATCCGAGAAAAAAAAACAGTTTTATTTCCAATAACCTGTCTCAAATTAGGAAATTCCCAGACCTATACGTGCTTTACTAAAAGATAATCAACTCCGGCGGCACTACCTAGACCGGAACCAATTTGGAAAAAATAGTTTCCTAAATTGGTCTTATCAGGAATCGAATCCGGGACCTCATCTAGCGCCTATTATAGTGCTACCCGCTGGACCACCGAAGTCGTTAACCACTATCCAACTACAAAACTGTCATTAATATAATTGGCGAGTACATCGCTTATTGATGGCTCAAAAAGAGACCTTGTGTCTTTGAATAGTTCTATAAGAGCTCTCTCACCTCCCGTAAGAGAGGTGCTAGAGTTAAATTCTATATTAATCACGATCAGAAAAATCAAGATCTGCGTCTATAACAATGTAATAAGACTGATCTTGATGTACGGTCGCGAAGCTTTAATATTTAGCTTAAAAAAAATAAGAAAAAAACTATTAGTGCGGAAAGTCCTCAAACTGAAAAGGATTATAAGAGCTGGAAAAAGAATTTAAAAATTGAGGATCTGAAGTCCGAACCCAATATTGTTAGGGAAAAAGACAGTGCTGCGAAAAGAGCGTACTTGGGACACCAAATTGACAATGACTAGACGGATGTCCTACGTAATAATAAAATAATAATAGAGCAATTAAATCCAGAAAGACTTAAGGGACCTCGATACTAGTGACTATTTAATGCGTATCTCTATGTAATAGGCACAAGCGAAGAGTATATAAAACTAGTTATGAGTAAATGAGAAAAAGATGAGCGGGATAGACAAGCGAATGAGACCACGCGCCTTCGTGATGTAATGCATTCGTGGTTCCATGAATGCTTAGGTGAAGAGAGGAAGTTTTAGTCCATAGGACAATGAGTATTAACATCTTCTCAGTGGAGTCGGGCATGCTGTAGGTACGGGCTGTACAGTATCCACGAGGAGCAGGAAGAAGTTCCTCAAAGCAGAATTTAAAACCGGGAGGGTGCGGTGGAATCTGGTATCAGAGACCAAGATTCACTTTGAATCACTGCCTATGAAAGCAATGGTAAGTAATTCTATATTCATAGGGTACATAACACAAAATGACAAAAGGACCTTTTATGTGAAACGTATATAGACGTGACGATGGGGCGATATTTCGTATCTTCAGTGTAACAAGGCCACATCTGGTTACTATTTGGATTCACCGGCGAAAGCTATGTGGTCCAAATTCCGCAGCTTACCTTTGGCCGGTGATCGACTCAACCTTCATGACTATGACTTCTTTAAAAACCGTATTTGTCGAACTAAATTTATCTATAACGTTTTTATGCTTAAATAGGAGAGATATAAAATTTCACAATTACAAAATTTATTTCGTGTAGCTTGTATTATTTGTATTAAAGGGTGCTGGTGAAATTACAGACGCCTGGGACGTGACAACTTATGTCTCAGGGTGACGGGCGCAGTGGCAGTATACCTTAGATCTTTGCGATTTAAAACCTCAGTGGCACTGCAACTGTTATGGATAGGCGTGTCGCTTAACAACAGGAGCACAACTCGTTCGTCCCGTCATTTCATATTCTAAAAAAAAGTGTAATAAATGAACTTTTGATGTACATGTGCCTTTATTATACGAAAGGTTGGAGAAGGCACTTGATGCATGTGCTGCAAAGTGTTAAATGTATTAATATTATCAAGCCAGTCTTCCCTTGGGGCAAGCAAAGACCTTCTCTCCTCACGCTTCAGTTTTTTGAATACGGGCCCGTTTATTCATGTATTTGAAGAAATGGTAGTAATCTAAGCTAACAATCCAACGCAGCAATTGTTTGAAACAATTTAGCCAATTTCATGAGCTAGTCATTGGAGTATACTGCAACTGAAAACGTCGTTGATTGGTTGATATTCCAGAATTCATTAGGCTGCTTTCTTACGAGTGCTTTAATTCCGCTCCATCGGACAATGCCCTATACAGTACAGTATCTCGTACGACAATCGGTACACTACATTTTACATCACTAGCTTTCATTCTCATGAACTTTTTCGCTTACTCCAACCTCCCTAGCACTTGCATATACGTATATGTGTGTAAGTAAGTATACATCGCACCCTTGACAATAATGTGACCAATTTCAAAAAGTAACATTTTTTAAGAAAATAGCTACATAGATTAATAGTACTTAAATTAAAATAAAAAAATCTCCTATTTTTTTATACCATCAAGTGACGGGACGAACAAGCCATGCTCCTGATGGTTAGTTACACGTATGTCCATAACAGTTATAGTGCCACTCAGAGATTTAAATCGCAAAGATCTGTGAGACACTAACATTGCGCCCGTCACCCTAAGACATAAGTTGACAAGTCCAATGTGCCTGTAATTTCACCAGCACCCTTAACCCTTCAAATCTGGAACACAGCAATGCTGACATTACTGCTTGGCGGCAGAAATAGGCTGTACTACCCTATACAAAATTGTTAAGTGAGTTACGACCATTTATGTTAAAGGATATGAAGGATACCTATATACGGGTTTTCTATTGGTTGCCAAATTTTTTTACATCTATACAGGGTGTAAACCAGGCGATTATTCTGTAAATAGAAAAGACAACAAAAACCTTTAAACTGATATCGAATCGAGTATCGAGTAAAACGACATCAATAACTTTTTTTAAATAAGAGTAGAAATATTCAATTTGACTTTAAACGTTCTCATACATTTAGTAAGGTATTCGTCAAAAGGCTTTAGTTGAACTACTTTAAGAGGTAACAATAAGTTTATAAATAAAGAAACTGCTATAAATAAATTAATAAAACTATCTTTTAATTGAATAAAAAAAACGTGATGTTTATTTTTAAGCAAGTTCAAAAGTTTTGTATTCAAAGCAATTGTTCGAAACTAAAGCCTCTCTACGAAAGTCACATTAAATGTATGGGAGCGTTAAACGTTTAAATTTTGGATGTTTCTAGTTTTATTAAAAAAAAAATATTAATGTCGTTTTACTCATTAGGTAATGTTTTTCGTTGTTAGTTTAAAGGTTTTTGATATCTTTTTATATTTACGGAATAGTCGCTTGGGCACACTTAACGATTACAGCCTGTATATACATTATTGAGGGCTTCTCACTTAATCATAATCACGATTGTTAAATCTAAGACGCAATTAAAAAACTAAACAAACTTAAGCCTTTTAAGCTGTTTTCTAAATTTTCCGGTTTTGGGTTAGGAATTCATTAAGTTGCAGCAGTAGAGCTCCTTGTGAAAGAGTTCGTCCAGGTAAGAACTGTTATCTGACCTACTTCTGCCGCCAAGCAGTAATGCCCACATTACTGCGTTTCGGTTTGGAAGGATAAGGGTGCCGGTGAAATTACAGGGACTTGTCAGCTTATGCCTCAAGGTGACGGGCGTAGTGGCAGTGCCCCTAAGATCTTTGTGATTTAAAGCTCTGAGTGGCACTGCAACTGTAATGGATAGACGTTTCGCTTGCCACCAGGTGCACGACATAGGCGTTCATCAATTGATATTATTTAAAAAAATGTTCCGTTTTTTAGAGATATAGAGTTGAATTAAAATCGCAAGTGTAAAGGCCCTTTTGACGATGTTTTTACTTCATCACTTTTAAATACATCGTATATTAGTTAAATTTGTTAATATAAATGTGTACGGTTAATAAAAAAATGTATGCGATAATAAGCGTGCTCGCGTTGAAGTCTTCTGTAGCAAGTATATTCTATCCATTGAAAGAGTCCTTACAAAGTTGTTCTACTAAGTTATTTACGTTTTGAAATGTCTTTACCTTTCATAATGTACATTTATAATCATAACGTATTGTTATATATGTCATACTATTTCAATGAAACTTTTAATTCCAGTTATCTACAATAGTTTATAGAAGGAATTGGTAAACCACTGAGAAGAAAATTATGTAAAGGTATATTAGATAATTGACAGTTTCTCTTCATGTTTTTGACACTCTATAAAGATTCTGAAGGTCTTTTGAATTTGTGTTAACAGATCTATGTATCAGAGATATGTCTGAAAGAAAAATGTTAAAACGATAAAACGTTGAAGTGATAAAGAATCAAAGGTTGACCGTTAAACGAAAAAAAAATAATGAAGAGGTTTTATTTACATATGAATAAACTTCGTTGTAAGCAACGATATCTGCGTGGTTGTAAGTTTGTTTGTTACCTAACATATTTTGGTATCAGAACAGATACACAAGCAATTAAAAGGTCAAATCTCACCAAGATCAGGGTGGTCGACGAGAGTATCGTCGATGATGGACTGCAGCCACCAGGGCTCCAGCTCGGCCATCTCACGCCGCCGTCGGCCGCGCGACTCGTACGGCAGGTGCATCTTCACTGCCGCATCACAGTCATTCGCACAGTCCACGTTTCCTTAATTAGCACTCAATGTACTCGCAACAGAATAAAGAAACGAAATTTGGCAACTCAAGGTCACTGTTGTTTGATTTTCGTTTAAGTTTATAATTGTACCTTGTACAATGCTATTCGCTTATTTGTAGATGTTTGTGTTTTATATATAGTACTTTCTTTCTTTAGCTCAGGCAAGTTTAAAGTTTGATGTCTATAGGTGAGGCTCTCCAAAGGTCTTGTAACACTTGGCAAGTTTCCAATCAGACTCTCCTTATTTGTAATGACACTTCTTTGTACAGTTTCAATGAGTATTTTGTTAATTTTGTCCGTTTAGTTTACTAGTGATTAGGCGTTCTTTGGATGTTTCTTGTTTTTCATTCAGTCTCTTCAAGTATTACAAATACTTTGTCCTTAATTAAAACAAAAGGACATTTATTCTAACGTATGTTATAGTTCACGTTGTTTACACAATTTTTTAACTAGTACACGATTCAATGTCCTCGTGCGTCACAATCGCAAATATGCAAACAAATTTTCCTCAGTTCCACATTACATTAAAACACTCTAGTTCAAAGTTAGACGAGACCTTGAATACCTTTGCTTCAACTTCACTTTCGTCATTTTAGATGAGTCACGAACCTCCCAGGGTTTATAGCGAGATTGCCAAAATTCTCGGCATTCGAGGGTTCCGGTAGATCTTCTAAGAAATGACACAGACTGTTATGATATTGTGAGTTACGGCACTCGTGTCAAGATCAGCTGATTGAGTGGAGTGTACGGATTGTTTCTCTTGCCTCGTCACTCTATTTTCTAATGTAGTTGTTTATGTTTTTGGCGAGGTGCGTAGTGCCGGTACCGGCAGCGTAACTCCCCGCGTCCGCGCGCGCGTCACTTCGGTATTACCGCGGCCGTCACCTCGTCAGTCGCCGCGTCCGCGAGCCTCGCTGAGTCAACGCTCACCGCCTGTCGCTCTACGTGTCGGCACAATGACCGTGCGCTGTCGGAGGCTGCGCGCGTGTTCACCGCTCGCGCGACTCTCTACTACTGAGCCGCCGCCATTCTGTCACTCGCTGCCTCCATTCTCTGCGGTCAATCTGCGGTTTGGCCACGCTTCATTTGTCGGGAAAATGCGCGCTCTACGCCTCCCACTCGAACGAGTGCAAAAACCTAGTAGTGCGAGCGAGACCCGTGCAAGTTTTGAGCCATTAAATATTTTTGTTTAGTTCCATTGTTGAAAGGGGAATATTATGAGCTTTTTCACTGTGAAGCAAAGTCGCGTCACTCGCTCCTTTCGACTTCTCTTTGCGGTTATTGCGGACAGAGACCGCTATAAGTGCTCTCCATACAGCCTTAATTGTGAGTAAAGTTTTTAGTACGGAAAATCCTTGAAGCCTGTAAATATTGGAAAAAAACAGATTTGTTTATATAGGAACTTATTACTCGAGTCATGCACTAAGTACACCACATTGCGTATGTAATGTCTTAACAGATTAATGGGATTAATGACGATGCGTTCAGTTTGATAAGACAGCTATTGTATCATATGGAATAACTTAAATCGGAATTAACGAGGTAACTTCAAGATCTACATATTTTGAAAGTTGGCATATGAAATCCCTCGTTGTTGAGTAGTTCTTAATTGCCGTAAATGTTTCTTTTGTTGATCATGAAGCTTTAAGAAAGGCGTGCGGCCGGGGGGCGTGCTCGGCGCTGGGCGTGGCGAGCCCGCCCACTGTCGCGAAGACGCGCGGGGTTAAAAATTTCGACTCCGCGCCGCCGCCGCTACGCCGATTCAACCGCCCGCCGCTGCTACGAGTCGCGAGGGACACTTGTTGCGCTACTTGCCTGCACTTAGTTTGTTGCAAACTTTATAAGTAACTTTGAGATCTCTTAGTTGTAAGAATAATAAGAGTAAGTGCTCAATATACAGAAATTTTGAATTATATTAACAGTAAATGAATAAGCCTTAAAGTTTTGCAGTACATATACATATCTGTACATGTAGTATGAGCGTTATTACTGTACCTCAAATAAGGTTCAAAATCTGGCCTAGCGAACAATGACCCAAATCCTCTTCTTAATGACGACAGTTATCATCGGGGGTGTGTAACTTCCAATAGACTGGGTTATTTTACCGATCTAATTGTGATGAAAGTGATTTATTATTTGAAGGCCTGCAACCGCCCTGAAAACATGATATTCCCACATACTAGAAAGTTAGGCAATTCAATAGTTTCTACGAATAGTTACTACTATAAACTTTAGTAGCAGAGCTCCTTGTGAAAGAGTTCGTCCAGGTAAGTAACTAAGTAAGACACCGTCACCAAGTGTTTAAGATGCTAAGATGCTGGTGAAATTACAGACAGGACTTGCCAAGTTATGTCTCAGTGACAGACGCAGTGGCAGTGCCCTTCAGATTGTTATTTAGGTGATTTAAACTTCTGAGTGGCACTGAAACTGCTATAGATAGGCGTGTCGCTTAACACCTAGCACACGATTTCTTAGTCTCGTCGCGTGGTATCCTAAAAAAGTAATCAAACTTACTTTTAGGAAATGAAACTATTGTTCCGGATTTAAATCGCGTATACTTATTTTTTTCAAACAAACCAACGTTTCGGGCCCTTTACAGGTCCCGTGACCATGAGACCTGTAAAGGCCCCGAAACGTTGGTTTGTTTGTGTGGTTTCATTTCCTATGTGTAACAATCGCGAAAACCTAAGAACTCGAAACTTACTTTTTTTATGATGGACACTTAGTCCAACGATTACTTCCTTTTTGATAGTTGAATTTCAAAGGTGCTGTGTAACCAGACCACAAGATTATTAAAAGACAATTTGTTATTTCCGTTACCGGTCGATCCAGTAGTTATTATCATAATACATACTGAAAAACAATTATCAGAGAAACAAACATGTTTTCAGTTTCTTTCTATAGCCTTTGTCGATGACATTTACTTGATTTTGCGTACTTTACCTTAGAAAATAAATGTCGGGTTCGATTATTATTCCTATACCTTTTTATTATTTTATCTTAACACCGCGATCTAGAAAAAAACTTCACTGAAACTGAAAAAAAAAACAAAGGAATGCCATAAGATATTCGAAGTATGATAATTATTATTAAGACATTCCAAATTCAAATATCCCTTTTTATAGAGATTTTTCATCCTTCAGCCACTAAAGGCCTGTTGTAATTCGTGGTGGAACTTGTGACGTCACCATTTTGTACCACCAGGCGCACGACTTGTTCGTCCCGTCATTAGTATCATAAAAAAAATGTGAAATTATAAAGATAAATAAAGCCACGTGATGTAATCACGAGTCGGCTTCAGGAGGCGGTGCCGATGACCGCAGAAATTTTTACGGGCGGTACAACCGCAGCGGCTGCGGCAAAACGCGAGGTGATAGAATCAATTAGAAACCGCTGACACTTCGATGTGCTAATACACCTGTGAGCAGAGGTAGGGCAAGGTAGCAATTAGATATTATACACGTATGGATATAAGGGTAACAAGTATAGATAAACTTGGATATGCAAATGGGATATACTCGTCGATAGTGTGAAGGAAGTGATGATGTATAATACATATAGTTGATGTATATATATCATGGTACCACGATTTCGTTTAACCAAGGTAAACGAATCTCTTATGGGTAACTGTATACGTTTTTACAATAATATTCCGGAGCATATATTAAGATTATCATTTCCTAAGTTTAAAAACTACATTAAAAATAGTTTGATTCAAAAATCATATTACAGAATTGAAGACTACGTGTTAGATAAAGATGTATGGAAAGACGACATGGCTCTAGATTCCACACAAATTTGATTCAAAGAGTATCCCATAGCATTTAAGTTTATTTGAAAAGAGCAATCCCTAGAGTTTGTTGCACGTTCTTGTTCGCAGTAGCTTAAATGTGACGTTTTCAAGTGTAAATTTATTTTACCTATGTAATCATTGACCTTATGGAATAAATGATTCCTTGACTTTAACTTTGATAGATAGACAGATAAATTCTTTATTAACTTCCATAACAAAAACATACAACAGATACATTTCTTTTTAATATATAATAGACACACGCTTGGCCACAATCTCACCTGATGTGACCGAAAAATGGGACGCGTTTGCCTAAAAATACCTATTCACTCTAGCCTTGAATAGCCCCAAATTGTACTTTTCGGGAAATACAGATGCAGAGCATTCCATTCCTTTGCCGTACGCATCAGAAAGGAGGAAGCTAAGCGCTTAGTGCGAATAGGTGGAATATCAATGACATAAGAATGGAATGCTCCGAACCTTCTAGTCGACCGAAGGAGGAACGGTGAGGGTGGAACTAAATTGAAAAGTTCTTGCGCACACTCCCCGAAATGTATCCGATAGAAAACCGACAAGCAGGCTACTTTTCAGCGATACATGGCACAAACAACTTAAATATTCATATTCATATTCATATCTTTATTAGCTTGTCACATGGTTTTACATAAGATCTTATAAAATTAATATTGTAACTTTACAAGTGACACCCTATACGGGCGCTGCAAATTGAGAGAGCACTACCAACATTATTAAATTATAAATATTCTTAACTTTTATTATACATTATATAATAATATGCCAACAACTTATTACTTAAATTACTGTTTAAAAGAATTAAAATAACAATTACTACGAGTATCAATAATAACTAATCTATTCAAAGACTAGACAAATGGCACTTATCTTTTATTTAATATTTCATCTATTGTATAGAATGATTTATTTATTTATTAGGTACTGCTTTAGGTGGCTTATAAACGTTGATACTTTTTCCTGGTTTTTTATTTCATTAGGTATATTATTATAAATTTGAATTGCCATTGAGTGCGGGCCCGACCTGTACAAACTGAGAGTGTTGTGGGGAGTTTTAATTTATGCAAGTTTCTATTGTTTCTTTTTAGAGTAGTGATTGGGGAGTATAATTGTACATGCTTTTTGACGAATTTACAGCATTTAAGAATGTATATGGATGTTA